CTCTCTCTCTCTCTCGCTCTCTCTCTCCCCCATCTCTCTCTCTCTCAATTCAATTCAATTCAAAGGGCTTTATTGGCATGAAAGTTAAATTAAACAATGTTGCCAAAGCATCACAATACAAAATAATTAACAACATTAACATACATTTCAAATGTTTACATTACATTACATTGCATTTAGCTGACGCTTTTATCCAAAGCGACTTACAATAAGTGCGTTCGACCAACAAAATACAAACTTGAAGAAAACAGAATCATAAAGTACATCAGGTTTCATAGAGCAAAAACATTTCAAGTGCTACTCAAACTGGCTTTAGGTAAGCCAGTCCTTTATTAGTATATAAGTGCTTCGTTAATAGTTCTATCGCTCGAAGTGGAGTCGAAAGAGATGAGTTTTCAGTCTGGAAGGTGTGTAAGCTTTCTGCTGTCCTGATGTCAATGGGGAGCTCATTCCACCATCTTGGAGCCAGGATAGCAAACCCACGTGTTTCTGCTGATGGGAACTTGGGTCCCCCTCGCAGTGCGGGTGCAGCGAGTCGTTTGGCTGATGCAGAGCGTAGTGCACGCGCTGGGGTGTACGGTTTAACCATGTCCTGGATGTAGGAAGGGCCAGATCCATTCGCAGCATGGTAAGCAAGTACCAGTGTCTTGAAGTGGATTCTAGCAGTTACCGGAAGCCAGTGAAGGGAGCGGAGGAGCGGAGTGGTGTGGGAACATTTAGGAAGGTTGAAGACCAGACGAGCCGCTGCATTCTGGATGAGCTGCAGAGGTCGGATGGCACATGCAGGTAGACCAGCCAGGAGGGAGTTGCAGTAGTCTAGGCATGAGATTTACATATTATTGATGATATATATATACAATTACATTTCAGTGTGTGTGTGTGTGTGTGTGGGGCGGTGTGTGTGTATGTGTGTGTTTGTGTGTGTGTGTCTCTCTCATTCACTGTCCCTCAGGTTGTTGCATGTGTATACATATTGGGCAGCAAGGTGTGCCTTGTCTTCTTCTCCTAGTACTCAGTCTTGAGAGTCTCTCCTCTCTCTCTCCTCTCTCTCTCTCTCTCTCTCTCTCTCTCTCTCTCTCTCTCTCTCTCTCTCTCTCTCGTGTTTCATGCCCATCACACACACACACACACGTATCTCTGAGAAAGATGATCTAACACAGCCCAGCTCTGATGAGATTATCATTTATTAATTTTAATGAACTGTCCTTTAAGTTGGATAAAGAGGGGGAGGGGGGGGGGGGGTCTCCCAGCTGATTTCCTCTGTTAAAATCCTGAGATATCTCCTGAGCACCTGAAAGATGACATGAGGAGTCACCTGTCTCTTCTCTCAGTGACGGTGATTTCAGGACCCTTTAGTGATTTACAGCGTCATTAAGATGACTGCCTGCACACTCACTCGTCCTGCATTGTCTAATCTGCAGCGCCATGTTTGAGATCTGAGACACAAATCAGAAGGGTTTCTGTTTCCAGTCTACACTCAGGGACATGTGAGGGACTTCAACAACATCAACGTTTGACAGCAGTTTGAAGATTTCCTATTGTCTACCATTACCTAGGTGTACAGAAGTGTGGACAACAGACTATTTTGTAATCGTTTTGTGTGTGTGTGTGTGTGTGTGTGGTGTGTGTGTGGTGTGTGTGTGTATGTGTGTGTGTGTGTGTGTGTGTGTGGTGTGTGTGTGTGTGTGTGTGTGTGTGTGTCCGTCTTCACTCCCCTGTGATCCATTCCTCTCCATCAGCCTCCTGCCACAGGGACATTCCCGTCTTATAATTGGCAGAGTTATTTTAATTTCACCCGCGTTTAAATTACAGGTCAGAGAGAGTGTGTGTGTGTGTGTGTGTGTGAGAGGAGTAGCTCAGTGTGTAGTAAATCCTCAGCAGTAATTCCTGCTCATGTCATTTATAGCATGCATCAAACCCTTTAATTCTGCAGCTGACTTCCACGTCACTTCCTGTTAAAAATGTCAGAATAAAGCACAACTTGCATCAATAACTGACAAAGGAAAACATATTTGAACAACATCTGAGAAATAAACATAAATCCAGATTAAATCAACATTAAATATGAATACCAACAAAGTGACAGGCCCCGCTAACTTCTGGGTTGGCCCACAGACTCTACTGCAGCTCTGTTGATGGACCCTGTGCTGTCTCTCCTCAGATCTCAGAGATGGGGAAGGACTCGCTCCCTTCCTGGCTGCACTGGGACTCCAGCAGCAGACTCCTGCAGGGTCTTCCTCTGGAGGAGGACAAAGGCGTCCATTACATCTCTGTCTCTATCTCCAACCACACAAAATCCTCCTTTTCCTCTGAGGTGTTTTCCATCTAGGGTACAACCCTGAAGACCACCGTGGACGCAGATTCGGCTCAGCTGGTCTCCAACCAGGCGTCCACTGTGGAGGACGTGCAGCCGTTCATGTGTAGCAACGAGGAGCCGGTGACGGTGCTGACGGTGATCCTGGACGCGGATCTGACCAAGATGAGCTCCGTACAGAGGGTGGAGCTGCTGGAGGACATGAGGGGCTTCTCCGGGGTCGGGCTGACACACATGAAGATACTGCCTGTGGTCAACAACCGGCTGTTTGACATGTCCGCCTTCATGGCCGGGCCCGGGAACGCCAAAAAGGTGAGCCAGTGATTCTAGAGAATGGATGCTGATCATATTATTTATCAAAACATATTGGGCTACGAGGGCCTTCTGCAAATTGAGTTTGATTGAGGTGAAATGTGGATAAAGATGCAAGAAGTCACAAATATACCAAGCCAATCTTTTTAGGCAATTCAAATGCATTTATTGTAATGGCAAAGTCCTGGTGGACCTAAAAACAAGTTGGACAAGTTGGACAAGTCAGGTTGGACAAGTCAGGTCATTTAATGTTTAAAATAGACTACAAAGGCGTGTGATTTGAAATTGTGTTAGTAGAAAGAGTATAACTTGAGTCCCAATGCCTCCCCAGGTGGTGGAGAATGGCGCCCTGCTGTCCTGGAAGCTGGGCTGCTCCCTGGACCAGAGCTCAGTCCCGAATATCAACAGCGTCCAGGGTCCGGCGAAGGAGGGCAGCATGTCGGCCAGGCTGGGCTACCCAGTGGTGGGGTGGCACATCGCCAACAAGAAGCCCCACATCCCTAAACGGGTGAGGCGCCAACTAAACAACACCCCGACCCCCGTTCTGGCGGTGCTTCCTCCGACTACGGTGGTGGAGCCTCCGGTGAGGATCGTCCCAACCCTTTCCTCGCCCTCTATTGCTGCCCCGACCGAGAGCTCCGCCCCCCCCGTAAGAGGCCCCGTCCCCCTGCCAGCCAAGCCAACCATCAAAGTCCTGCAATCCATCGCCCACACCCCAACACTGGGACCCCCCTCAACCAACAAGGGTCATGGAGACCACCAGCACCCTCCCTATCCAGCCCACCATGACCAGGCCTACGTATGTAGAGGCGACTGTGACCCCACCCATACCTACAAGAAAACCTACTAAGAAACCCAGGAGACCCAAATCCACACCCTCACCCAGGGAGCCAAAGACCACCACAGCAAAGCCGCCAAGGCGTACAACACCCTCCCCGGGGGTCCTGATCCCAGACCCAGCCAACGAGAAGCCCGTCCTGCGTAACCCCATCGACCAGGTCAATGCTTTAGTGGGAACCTACTTCGAAGTCAAGATCCCGTCGGATACATTCTTTGACAAAGAGGATGGGACAACTGACAAGCTGCGTCTAACTCTGAGACAGAAACACAACGAGGTGGTTGGGGAGACCTCCTGGATCCAGTTCAACACCACCAGTCAACTCCTGTACGGGCTGCCTGATGCCCAGCATGTGGGCAAACACGAGTATTTCATGCAGGCAACGGACAAAGGCAGCCTGAATGCTATTGATGCGTTTGAGGTGCGTGTGAACCGCTGGCCTGTCAATGATAAATCCCCTGTCATCTTCACGGCCCGGTTCGAAGGTGAGCCGCGTTCAATAACAAACGACATCCACAAGAAGATCCTCCTGGTCAAGAAGCTGGCCTACGCACTGGGAGATCGCAACAGCAGCACAGTTAGTCTCCGAAACATCACCAAAGGGTCCATCGTGGTGGAGTGGACGAACACCAGCCTCCCTCAGAACCCCTGTCCAAAGGAGCAGATAGCCATCCTGAGTAGGACGCTGGCCAGTGCTGACGGAAAACCCTCCCAGACTTTCAGGTACTCCATGGATCCTGAGTTCAGACCTCTGGACGTCCAGGTGAAGGGACGGGCAAGCTGCAGGACTTTCTCCTTCATTCCACCCGGAGAGATCAATATCCCAGAACCCCCTGCGGTCACTCCGGCTCTGGGAACGGGCCGGCAGAGCACCGATGACGTTTATCTGCACACCGTCATCCCCGCCGTAGTGGTGGCAGCCATCCTGTTGATCGCAGGCATCATCGCCATGATCTGCTATAGGAAGAAGAGGAAGGGCAAGCTGACCATCGAGGATCAGGCCACCTTCATCAAGAAGGGCGTGCCCATCATCTTCGCCGATGAACTGGATGACTCTAAGCCGCCTCCCTCTTCCAGTATGCCCCTGATACTGCAGGAAGAGAAACCCCCCCTGCCCCCTCCGGAGTATCCCAACATGGCCACGCCGGAGACCACCCCCCTGAACCAGGAGCTGCTGGGGGAGTACACCGCCCTGCGGGACGAGGACCCCAACGCGCCTCCCTACCAGCCGCCGCCCCCCTTCACCACTCCCATGGATGGCAAGGGCTCCCGTCCCAAGAACATGACCCCCTACAGATCTCCACCCCCATACGTACCTCCTTAAGACATGCTCCACCCTCCCCTCGCCGGGTGGAGGGAGAGGACACCTGAGGAACTGTGACTGTTTCCATTCTGGTGTTTGTCTGTCTGGGCTTTTACAGGGAGGGATGACAAGAGGTGCTAAAGTACAAAACAGCTACAGGGGAGTCTGGTTTGGGAGGGAGCGTCATGAGGTGGGTGGGGTTTAACAGTAGACAATGGGATTGGTTGAATCAACTGGGAGGGACTACTGATCCAGTGGTAGACCAGCTACTACAGTGGCCTAAAGACAAACAAATTCTCGACCCGCCGTCTTTCCGGCCGACTCGTCGGTCAGGAGCGGTGATTGGGAGTGGTGCTCTCCCATCCCAGCATTCATTTTTGCTCATTTTAAAAACCGGATTTTATTCAGTTTTTCATCATTACCCCGAGGTTATTATCTTTTTTTCTTGACTGAAGTGTTTGCTAACAAGTCTTCTCGGTCTTGCTTTTTAATAATACGAAAAGACAGCAATCTGCCATCAGACCTTTAGGCATCAATCCGGGTTTTTAATAAAGAGTGAGACCCTCTGAATAACAAAATCACACGACGGATCTCACATCAGCCTGCAGACTGTGTGTGTGTGTGTGTGTGTGTGTGTGTGTGTGTGTGGTTGTGTGTGTGTGTGTGTGTGTGTGTGTGTGTGTGGTGTGTGTGTGTGTGTGTGTGTGTGTGTGTGTGTGTGTGTGTGCTGTGTGTGTGTGTGTGGTGTGTGTAGTGTGTGTGTGGGTGTGTGTGTGGTGTGTGTGTGTGTGTGTGTGTGTGTGTGTGTGTGTGTGTGTGTGTGTGTGTGTGTGTGTGTGTATGAGTGAATGAGTGCTTGTGTTGATTCAGATTCAATATGGTTTGCCTTCTAACACCAGTTATATCCTTTTTCACAATGTCTGGTAAAGAGGAGAATAACAAGGTAGCCTAAAAAGGATTTAGAGATGACTAATAAATCATTTGTTTGTTTATTGGTTTGAATTCACTGTATATCTGGAAGATAGATCGTGTTATATTTTTTGGTGGTGAAAGAAAAGGACTGCCTCACTGAAATGACCTGCAGGATATCTTTTTCCTGTTCCATATAAATATAGATGAACTGCTGTCCATTGGAGGAAATAGGAGATGTCTTTATCCCCTCTGGCTGGGGTCAATAAACTATTAATAAACTACTGTTTTTTATCATGAAAGAGATTATTCTAATAACGTGTTCAGGCTGAGTCTGGATGCTTAATGTAAAGCTGTATGCAGATGTCCACAATGAGACTTGGATCTGGAGACAGATTTAGCCAAGGTTCACAGCAATGCCATGTCCGCCCTTTTCTACAAACACAGGACAGGAAAAGGACCCCTCCAGTTTATTTTGGTCCAGGGATAGTTATTTTTGTACGTAACCAGTCAGTTATTCTCCCGGTCAGAGGCGGGGTTTGTGTCTCCGAGAGGTTCAAAGACCTGTCAAGGAATTGGCTCTCCTAAAAACGGTCAATCTCCTTCTCATTTTTTACCAAGTTTTTGATACAGCCTCAAACTGTTTGATTATTAAAATAAAATGAATGATTAGTCTTCAGTGATTTGTAAAATCTTAGCCTAGAAGTTAAACTATGATTCAGTTATGTACACTTTGTTTCCTTGGGTCACATATTTCAAGTGTTTTATTTTACTGTGTGTGAGTTTGCATATCGCCACTATACAAAGATGGAATGACCCATATTTTATGTAATCACAAAGTTTATTTTTATGTCCTTATGTTTGCTAATGATTTCATCAGAAAGAGACCCTTTGCAATAATAATGTAAGGCGCAGTCCGACACCACTGACACAAGGTCGCTGGTCTATGCAGGATGCCAAGGCATTTTGCTTATCGAGTGTGCATTGTCATAATAAAACCAACTGGTACGATAAAACAGATCCACCTTCTTCATTTCTGAGTTCACTGCCTGGTTCTGTTGGGTTTCTCCTCCACAGAATGTCTCTACCTGTCTTCCTCTGATCTGCAGCCTGATCACAGCTGATCTCCAGGGCCCAAGAGTTCAACACTTTTAATCTCAATCAGATCCGATCAGATTTTGAAATCCCATTTTTTGTCAAGTCGGACAAATGTTGTCCCTGGAGTTCAAAGCAATTCAGGATAGGATCAGCCTGATCCAGATTACGACTTTTCAAGATGACTAGATCCTGAATATCAGTGCTTTAATCCTACCGAGCGCCATCTAGTGGACATGAAAAATAATACAAGGAAGACAAGAGACCACATTGCAGAGACTTCTATTGTCCGCAATTACTTTTGAAAGGTGATGACAGATGATGGACTTTTTTTTTTGTTGAAGATATTTTTAATGTAATCTAAATTACATTTGTGATTGACAATCTTTGCTGTGATACTTTTATGAGCATAAACATTTATGTCATCAACATTTGGTTGAAAACAAAATAGGCCACCACAAACGTGAGCAAAAATGGAAAAATAAAATGTATTTCCTATGAAGGCTAAAAATGGTGTATTATTTCAGTTAACAAACTTTGCCATCTAATTTAAATTGAAACATATTTTAAAATAAATGGTACAGTATATTGTACTCTGGTAATCCACTGGAGATCCACCCCTCTGGTGGGATCAGGATAATCCAGTTATTTGGGATCAAACTGATCCCAATCCTGTGTTGTCGGTTTGAACCCGTTTTGAAGATTTGATCCAGATTAAAGCTTGGATTGGATTTCCTGATCTGATCGGATATCAAAGTGATCCTAATCCTGTTTTTTGGTTTTGAACTCCCCAAAATCCAATCTGATCAGATCAGATAGGGATTCAACGTTTTGAACTCCTGGGCCCAGAGGATGAAGAGGAGCTTCATCACCTCCTCTGTTTGCTCCTTTAGGAAACACTGGTAAGTACCGGATGGGTTGCTCTCATGTATTCAGTCATGGAAACAGCTGATGGTGAATGACAGACTGAGTTTAATGGAGGATGTTTCTGATGGTTTTGACTCTCTGAGATGGATCAGTGTGTCTCAGACATTCAGAGGTTAAACCCCAGCAGACCTTCAGTAAAGATATCCTGGATGACCAGCTCCCTCTCCCTCTGTCCTCCTCACAAGCAGATCATCGACTCCTCAGAGGATCCAATGGATGTCCAGCTGTGTGATCATTCACTCCTGGTTTAATTATTCATGATGAATGTGTTCCTGAGCTGTGGCTCAATGTGGAGTGAAGACAGAGAGTATGGAGGATTGATCTGGGTCTGATTGAGATCAATGTGACGCTCTTCAAATATCCAGTCCACCGACAGATCACCTCAGAGGTCAACAGGTTAAAGCAACACGTCTCATTCAATCTGATTCTGAGACACTTTATTAAGTGTTCTTTAAAGTAATAAGCTATTCAAGGTTAAGGTTAGTTTATTTGTATAGCACATTTTAAGACACCAGTGCTTTACATAGGCATTAGCACGTAATCATTAAAAACAAACAAATAATCATTAATAAAAGGGATAAAAGAATGGTGCAATGATGAGGTTAAAGGATCTCAGGATAGGTTTCAAAGTATTTCCCTGTGTGGTTCAAACCAGGCTGTTTCTCACTGTCTGAAGAATATAAATGCATAAGATATAAACACTTATATATATACATGCATACACAAAATCAACATACATTTCACATGACACAGGTGTTATTCTAGTCTGGTCACATGACAGGTGTTATTCTAGTCTGGTCAAATGACAGGTGTTATTCTGGTCTGGTCACATGACAGGTGTTATTCTAGTCTGGTCACATGACACAGGTGTTATTCTAGTCTGGTCACATGACAGGTGTTATTCTAGTCTGGTCAAATTACAGGTGTTATTCGGGTCTGGTCACATGACAGGTGTTATTCTAGTCTGGTCACATGACACAGGTGTTATTCTAGTCTGGTCACATGACACAGTTGTTATTCTAGTCTGGTCACATGACACAGGTGTTATTCTAGTCTGGTCACATGACACAGGTGTTATTCTAGTCTGGTCACATGACAGGTGTTATTCTAGTCTGGTCAAATTACAGGTGTTATTCGGGTCTGGTCACATGACAGGTGTTATTCTAGTCTGGTCACATGACACAGGTGTTATTCTAGTCTGGTCACATGACACAGTTGTTATTCTAGTCTGGTCACATGACAGGTGTTATTCTGGTCTGGTCACATGACACAGGTGTTATTCTGGTCTGGTCACATGACACAGGTGTTATTCTGGTCTGGTCACATGACACAGGTGTTATTCTGGTCTGGTCACATGACACAGGTGTTATTCTGGTCTGGTCACATGACAGGTGTTCATTTCATTTCAAACCTTTATTTAATCAGATTGGTCCCTTGAGATCATAGATCTATTTTTCAATGGAGACCTGCAGCATATAGGTTCCACATGAAACATAAAACAATAAAGGACATCATACATTATATTTACAGGATACATTTACATAGTTATAGACAATTACAAGTGCCCATAGTATCAACAAGCATTTCATTTAGCCTATCTTTAAAAACATGCAGAGGAATGAGATTGCTCAGTTTGAAATGATTGCTGAAGATTGTTCCAAGCAAGTGGAGCTGCGCACATAAAAGCTGTCTTACCTGAGACAGTCCTTGCTCTTGGCACATCTAACAATACTACATCATGCGATCTCAGACAATAGCTGCTTGCAACTCTCTGTGTTATCAGAGAGCAGATATAATACGGGAGTTTACCCAGCAAAGCTTTATGGTAAATGGTAAATGGACTGTACTTATATAGCGCTTTATCCAGTCTTTAAGACCCCTCAAAGCGCTTTACATACTATGTGTCGTTCACCCATTCACACCCATTCATACAGAGCAGTGTATGTTACTCTAGGACCTAACATGCATACACATTCACACACCGTTGGCCACGCCATCGGGAGCAACTCAGGGTTAAGTATCTTGCCCAAGGATACATCAACATGTTGACTGCATGGGCTGGGATCGAACCCACAACCTTCTGGTTGAAAGACGACCGCACTCCCTCACAGCCACAGTCGCCCTTTATAAATAAACGTGTACCAATGACTGAGCCTCCGTACAGTTAGTGAAGGCAGACCTGCCTTGGCATACAGGGTACAGTGATGAGTAAGTGCTTTACAGTTAGTGACAAATCTCAGTGCGCTGTGATAGGCAGCATCTAACTTGTCCAGGCAATGGGCAGGTGCATTCATATACATCAGATCACCAGAGTCCAGCACAGGTCAAAAGGTCACAGAGCCTTTTCCTGGCCTCAAGCGAGAAACAGGACTTGTTCCTGTAGAAGAAACCTAGCCTAACCCTCAGCTTTTTAAGCAGGTTATTGACATGAAGTTTAAAAGTGAGACAATCATCAAGCCAGATACCAAGGTATTTGTAACTGGTAACCACTTCAAGTATTTGTCCTTGCATAGTTACAATATCTAAAACAGGCTCTGGTGTCTTTTTAGCTTTAGAAAAGAGCATTACCTTGGTTTTCTCAATATTTAAAAGAAGCTTTAGTTCAGAGAGCTGAGTCTGAATAATGTTAAAAACAGCCTGTAATTTAACACCAGCCTCCTGAATGGAGGGACCTGCACAGAACATCACGGTATCATCTGCATATAAATGTAAAGTAGCTTCATCCACATTTTCACCTAAACTGTTGATGTAGATGGATAATAAAAGTGGACCTAAAACAGAACCTTGAGGAACACCATTTGCAATGTTTAACCACTCAGAAGACAGCCCATCAAAGTGAACACATTGGGACCTTTCAGAGAGGTAGTTCACAAACCACCCACTGCATGGCTGGATATGCCGATACTGAGTAGCCTCTGCTTTAAGATGTGATGATCGACGGTATCAAACGCTTTGGACAGGTCAATAAATAGAGCTGCACAACTCTGCTTATTATCTAAAGTACTCGCCACTTCATTCACCACTTTCATTGTGGCAGTGATGGTGCTGTGTTGCTTTCTGAAGCCTGACTGATGTTTAGACAGGATGTCATTTGTACATAAAAACTCCTTTACCTGTTCACTCACTAAGCGTCCGAGCAACTTAGCCAGAACTGACAACTTAGAGATTGGCCTATAGTTATTTAATAAGGTGGCCTCCCCTCCTTTTAGCAAAGGCAGGACATACGCTGACTTCCATACTTTTGTAATTGTGTTAGTGCTGAGGGAGAGGTTAAAAAGAGTAGTGAGAGGTGGAGCAATACAATCTGCAGCTATCTTTAAAAGGAAAGGTTCTACGTTGTCCGGGCCAGCCGGTTTCTTAGGATCTAGCTTGGTTAAGGCTTCATGAACAACATCAACAGTAAAAGGAGTAAAACTGAAAGGGTTTTCCAGACCACATTGTTCAGAGTCACGGATCGGGGTGTTCACAGAAGCAGAGATAGAAACAGAATCAAACAGAGAGCCACAGGACAAAATGTTTATTAAAGCAATTTAGCATAGTGGCCCTGTCCAATATAGAGCCAGATGCTGTGGTAAGGCACGGAGGCACTTCAATCTCTTCTTGAAAGAGGCTCTGGACTCTATTTCAGTAAGGTAGTTTGGCAATGAGTCCCATTCCTTTATAGCTCTATAAGACACAGAAGATTTCAGAAGATGTGTCCTGGGTTTAGGTGCCCGTAGATGGCCTGATGTAGCTTGTTCCTGGGTTTAGGTGCCCGTAGATGGCCTGATGTAGCTTGTTCCTGGGTTTAGGTGCCCGTAGATGGCCTGATGTAGCTTGTTCCTGGGTTTAGGTGCCCGTAGATGGCCTGATGTAGCTTGTTCCTGGGTTTAGGTGCCCGTAGATGGCCTGATGTAGCTTGTTCCTGGGTTTAGGTGCCCGTAGATGGCCTGATGTAGCTTGTTCCTGGGTTTAGGTGCCCGTAGATGGCCTGATGTAGCTTGTTCCTGGGTTTAGGT